GCAGGAGCTCGGGAGACTGAAGTTCATCCCCTCATCCCACAGTCTCCTGAGTCAGGGACCTAGTTGGGCCTTGGGAGATAAGGATGGACAGACACTTCTGAATGCTGTCACTCAGGGACCCCAAGGGACAATGAGACAGACACCACTCACAGGGACAAGAACAGGCCTAGTCCTCCATACCAACTAAAGAGACAAGAAATAAACAGAGAAGACAGAGTGAAGAGCCATGGCCAGGTCAGAGCCCAGGCTGACCTGTCACAGCTGCCCTGGCTGCTCACAATCCTGGGGACAGGACAAGGCTCTGTCATCCCAGTGTCCCTGTGATCACAGACTCTCAGCATGTGGTTCAAGTGATGAAGAGAATAGAGCCAGGTGACAGAGCTGAGGAGTGACCATGTCACAGCCAGCAATGGACTGAGCTCCACCTGGGCACAGCCCTGTTCACACTCAGCTCCCACAGCCTCATCTTGTCCACCAGATACACACAGCACAAAGAACACAGATTCTGGAAGGTTCTCCATGCTGCCATTTATTTCCTCCACAAGCTCTAAGTATTTCTATCATTTAATTTACCCATCAATCCACCTGTCAGATCAAGGACATGAACAACCAAGTTTACATTCAGATTCTTATTTTCTGTGGGGAGTCAGGGGCTGCAGCTCAGGGCACCATGGAGGTGACAGGATGGAGTTGTCCCCTCCTGTCTGCTGGACCAGGAAGGTTGGCTGTGGAAGGGAACAGGGCAGCAGGGACAGAGTCCTGGTGTGCAGGGGTGGCCGGGCTCCTCAGTTCTTCACATTGAGCCCACAGGGTCACAGGATCATCAGACACTGTTGCTGAGAGTGAACTGAGGGGCTCAGGACGTCACAGGAGAGACCTGAGCACATCTCTGTCACTCTGTCAGGCCAGGCAGCTGTCTTCACGCTACAAACAAGAGTTATGAACAATCACTGTGAAGACAACATCCCAACAACCCACCACTCACTCAGAGGTGATTCTGGGAGTCCCTGAAACACAATCATGTCCACTTTATCCCTCCCCAAATCAGTCCCCAGAGTGTCACCTTTACAGTCTGGGAGAGACACATCAGAGCTCTGGACACTGTCCCTGCCTAGGGTAAAATTATATATAGTCACAGGAAGGTGAAAACATGGCCTCTAGAAGATTTCACTGGAGGAGGTATTATGGGTTGGCAGAGCTCCCCAAATACTCTAGCTTCACCCCAAGGGCCTCAGGGACAATCCTGCTCCCCGCACTTACCTGAAGCCGGAGTATAGTTTCCTCTCTTTGCACCTGTGAGGAGAAAAGCTGTGAGAGACCAGGGAAGACCCGACCCTAGGAAGTTTCCAGAACTGACTGCAGACCCAGGTTAGAGACAGGAGCAATGAGGGGTGTGGATGTTTCCCATTAATGAGGCAGAGCACACTTCTAAAAGGGGCTGAGAGAACCAGACGCTGCCCTTTCTTACCTGTGTTTCTCCTCCTCTTCCTCACAACAGCCACCACAGCAACAACGGCCACAGCTCCAAGGAGAACCAGAACAGCAATGATGATTGCCGTGATGGGGACAGTGGACTGAGGAGGCTCTGGGAAGGGAAGGACAGGAAAGGAAGTGAGTGTCATGACCCCAGCTCTCAACCGTGACCCCAGCTCTGTACCCACACCCTCCTTACCAAATCTCAGGGTGAGGGGCTCAGGCAGACCCTCATGGTGCACATGGCATGTGTATCTCTCTTCCTCTCCTGAAGGCACCACCACAGCTGCCCACGTCTGGAAGGTTCCATCCCCTGAAGGTCTGGTTTCCACCAGCTCCATGTCCTGAATCAGATCCTCCCCATCCCTCTGCCAGGTCACGGAGATCTCAGCAGGGTAGAAGCCCAGGGCCCAGCACCTCAGAGTGCCATCTCCTTTCAGTATGGGGTGATGGGTCACATGTGCCTTTGGGGGATCTGTGTGGAAGATTTAAGAAATCCCACAATTAACAAGATAAACAGAAATCTGCAAAGACAAAGTTAAACCAATTATGACACTAAACTGTGTCTGTTTGGACAATTCTGTCATCACACTAGTGACCTCAGGTAGAGCTGGTCCCCTCATCACAGAGCTGCACATTTTCCTGGGGGGACTCAGTGGCTAAGAGGGAATCCACATGAGCCAGCAGGTCAGCATGGTCTTCCTCATGTGATGTTCTATAGCGTTAGTTAGGTAGTTAAAGAATGAAGGAAAGGAAAATAATTAATTTATATATGTTATTAATTCATATCAAAATAAGAAATCAGGTACAAGGGCTACATGAAGGGTGCCACCAACTCCTGCTGCCACCATTGAGGCACAACCACAGTGGCCATCTTGCTGACCAGCATAACTGTCTGTCCAGTGAACAGCCATCACCAAAGTGTGCAGCAGAAATGTGGTGAACCTCTGACACTCAGCCAGAGAAAATGACTCCCCAAGCCCTGCCTCTGGGGACAAGATACAAGGCATTGTCAACAGGACCCCTGGAAGTGTGCTGTGGAGCCCAGTGCAGCACTCCCTGGGACACAGCAGTGCTCACAGGGGTGTGTGGATCTTCCCTGTCACTCCTGTCCTGGAGCTGCAGAAGACGCTGTCTCTGAGGAAGTTCAATTCCTAATCCACTGGGACAACACTGTGACTTGTTGGGGCCGAGGGAGAGCAGGAGGGCTCTGGATGTTAATATGGCAGAAAACAGTCTAAGCTCACAGGAACCTTTCTAGTGTAAAGGAAACACTGACTTGTCTAATTATCCAGATTAGCAGTTCCCCCTGGCTCCTGTGGAGACGGATACAGATGATAATAAAGGGGGAGAGAGAGAAACAAACAGTATCACCCCAGTGAGGGAAAAAACTGACTAAAAGCAAAATAATATCAGATAGACAGACAGAGAGAGAGAGAGGGAGAGAGAGAGAGAGAGAAACTTCCACAATTTAGTATTTGTCCAGGATAATCCATAAGTGCTCACGGGACCATTCTAGGAACAGACAGAACTGATGTGTGAGGGATATAAACCTCACCCACAGGAATCTGGGAGAACGTATTCTTGGGAAAGTTCTAGAAACTATGGAACCAGCCTAGGGTAGGGGCGTCCATGTCTCCCATCAGGTAAAGGAGACTTCCGGTCCTGTCGTGTAAGGCTGACACACTCAGATGACAGGACTCAGTTTCCACAGACCCTGGTGTGGGCAGAGACCCCGGCCTGGGAGAGGCCATGGCTGACAGCGGCTGCAGACTGCAGGAGCCACTGTGGTGATGTCGGGATCTCCTCTCCCTCCTCCTGACACAGATTTGCAACTGTCCAGGGAGAAGGCTGAGCCTGGGGGTCAGTGCGGCCCCTGCCATGCTGGATCAGGAGACCCAGGGACACTGTCTGCTCTGAGACAGGGGCATGACCCCACCTGAGGGGTTTCTTCTTCCTCAGGACTGAGCCCAGCCCGAGGCAGAGGGAGGAGCTGCCCGCGGCCCTGCACCTGAGCGCTGCAGCGTGTCCTTCCCGTTCTCCAGGTATCTGCGCAGCCACTCCACGCACGCGCCCTCCAGGTAGGCCCTGTATCTCTCTGCAGCACCAGTCTGCTCCCACTTGCGCCGGGTGATCTGCGCCGCCGTGTCCGCCGCCGTCCACGTCGTCAGGTCGTCGTTCAGGGCGATGTAATCGCGGCCGTCGTAGGCGTGCTGTTCGTACCCGCGGAGGAGGCGCCCGTCCGACCCCACGTCACAGCCGTACATCGCCTGGATGGTGTGAGAGCCTGCGGGACCCCGCGGTCAGCCCCGCCCACCCGCGGTCAGCCCCGCCCACCCGCGGTCAGCCCCGCCTCGCGGCCCCGCCCACCCGCGGACTCCTCTAAACCGAAAGGGAAACCGGTCCCGGTCCCCGACTCTCCTCCCGAACCTCGGACCCGGGACCCGGGGCGACTCCGGCCCGGACGTAGGGACGTGGAGGGGTCGTGACCTCCGACCCGCGTCACTCACCGCCCTCGCTCTGGTTGTAGTATCGGAGCGCGGTCCTCAGGTTCACTCGGAAAGTCTGCTCGTGGCCCTTGGCTTTCTCTGTCTCCCTCTCCCAATACTCCGGCCCCTCCCGCTCCACCCACGGCGCCCGCGGCTCCATCCTCGGGGTCTCCGCGTCGCTGTCGAAGCGCACGAACTGCGTGTCGTCCACGTAGCCGACAGAGATGAACCGGGGCTCCCCGAGGCCGGGCCGGGACACGATGGTGTGGAAATACCGCATGGAGTGCGAGCCTGGGGGCGGCGCGCGGTGAGACCCCGACCCTCCTCCCGGACCCCGGGCGGGTGCGCGGGCCGGGAGGGGCGCAGGGCGCGGGGCTCGGGACGCGGTGGAGAAGGGCGGGAGGGTCTGGCCGGGCGACGGGGTCGCGGCTTCCCCGGGGCCGCCCCCGCCCTCCCCGCAGGGTCGTTTCCCTCCCGACCCCGCACTCACCCGCGCGGGTCCGGGTCGGGGCCAGGGCGGCCGCCAGCAGCAGGAGCAGCGCGCGCGGAGCCATCGCCCCCATCTCGGATCTGGGGCGTCTGAGTTCCGCGGGCTGCGTGGACTTTATAACCCGTGACCGCGGCGACGCTGATTGGTTCTCCGCGATCTCGGCACCCAATGGGGGTGAGAACAGGACACTCGTCATCAGTGTCCGGGCAGAAGGACCCGACCCAGGTCAGGAGCTGGAGAAGTGAAACTGGGGACCTGGGGATCCCCAGCCCTGGGCTCCCACCCCAGACCTCACCGCCTGGGGACTGAGACTTTGCTGAACCCTGTGCTGCGGGACGGAGCGCTGTTTGTCGTGGTGTCTCTGAGCCGCCTAAGGACAACTGTCTCCTCAGGTTCGTCAGGATGAAACCTAAGAGCACGAAGTGTCCAGGTAAAATACACACAGCACTTGAAATGAATGTTCAGGGAAACAGGTGCTGTCGGAGTCCTGGTGAGGGTGCGGGGCTGCCGTGGACACCGTCATCGGGAGGTGACTGGAGTTTTCACAGCTCTGGTCAAGGGCTTTTGACCCTGTGTTATGTGACTCTCCGTGCTGGAGTCCCTACTCACCTCTGCTTTCACTTTCTACTTCAGTTATGTGTGGCTGGGATTTGAAGACATCAAGTCAAAATCCAAGAAACACAAAAATTAATAAATTTAATTTTTCTCCGCACTACTCAACAGGGATGAAACCTCAGATCCCCAGTGTGTACCTCTGCCATGAGAATCACCCTCTGCCCGGTGTCCACCCTGCACAGGCCTGAGGAACTCAGGAGCCAACTGTTCTCAGACCCAGGGCTCCACAGGCCTGTGACATTCATCTCCCTCATCTCATCGGCTCATAAAGTGGGAGTGAAGGTCAGAGAGGGAACGAGAGGTCACGGGTTATGTAACTTCCACCACATCATCATCGTCATTGTTCTGCTTGATGATGAGTTACAGTTCCTCCCTTACTGTGATTTATTCCCTGAAGCAACTGTACCATGGCAGTGTGTGGACACACAGAACCGTGGTGTGTAGACTGGGATCAGTGCGGAGCTGTACTTGGTCTCCACGGGGGTCTCTTCCCAGTGGAGAAGGGGTCTACTGTGCTGAGACAAAGACCAGGTCCACCCAGACATCTCAGGACTATGGACTGAAGATCCGTGTAAAACACAACCACCTGGTGCTACAGATGATCATCTGGGAAGAAAACACTAGAAGTCTGAGTGTAAACACCAGGCTGTGAAGACACGATCCTGAGTGAAGAGGAAAAATCTCAATTTACAGGTGAGATTCCTGAGCATCAGGCTTGGCGGTGCGAGCTGCCCCCTGCAGGTGAACACCAGGAGCCTGGTCTCTGTGGAGACTGAGGTGCTTGCAGGCCAGTGCCTCTGCTTTACAGAGAAGCATCTCTCCACTGCATCCCCAACATGCTTGTTGTTGCCATTGTATTCCCGGAAGTGACTTTTCTTCTAGACAATCCAGGAAGGTTGAGGAGAGAACTAAGTGAGTCTGGCCTGGGGGTCTCTCCTGGTGTTTTTGTCTTTTTTTGTGTGTGTGAGACAAGGTCTGTATCCACAGCTCTGGCTCCTGAAACTTACTTTGTAGACCAGGCTGGCCTTGAACTCACAGAGACATGTAGCAGGCTTTCTTTCAGACCACCAACCAGCTCCCAAATCATGACACAGAGACTTATTATTAGTTATGAATGCCTGGCCTTAGCTTAAACTTACCTCTAGCCAGCTTTTCCAAGTTAAATGAACCTGTTTCTCTTCATCTTTGTTTTTCCTCAGGGCTTTTTACCATTCTTTCCTTCCTTCTGTATGTCTTCCTTTTGTGCTTCCTCCATGGCTGGCTGGGTAACTCAAGAAAACCCAGAGAGTTTTCTTGAGTGAGAGAAGCAGGAAATATTAGATAGAAGGATTTAGAGTGTGGAGATAAACAGAAAATACAGGATATCCTCAAGAGGGCCTGGAACCTATTCCAATGGGCCCTGACTGTCTCTGCCCTAAGCTATTTATAGAAACGATAAGAGGTGGAGCAGAAGTCCTCCCCGCCAGCACAGCCAAGTGCAGACCATCTCAGACACCTGCATCAGGCCCGAGGTCCAATCATCCTCTCTATCTGGACCTGCTGGGTAAAGCCACAAGGAACCTGAAAAAGGGCTCCCATGCTGGGGACTCCTGACTCCACCCTTCACCTTCCCATCATCCTTAGTTTGGTCACCCCACCTATACTTCCTGCCTGGCTACAGCCAATCAGCATTTTATTAAACCAATTTGAGTGAGGAATCTTTACAGTCTATAAGAGGAGTATTCCACAGCATTTCCCCCTTTTTGTCTAATTAAAAAGAAGATTTTTAGCTTTAACATAGTAAGATTATATACAACAGGAAGTTATTAAGTAAAAATTATACTAAGGCTCTTTGAACTTGCCTGCAGAAACCCTGAATGTTCCCCAACCCTTGACTTCGTTTGCAGACCACCTAGTAACAGCTGGAAGTATCATACAGCACTTGGCAATCAACTTCCTGTAATAAATTCAACAGCAGCAACCAAAAAAAAAAATTTACACTAACACTAGCTAATCCATTTGCATTGGGCGAAATTAGAGAAAATACTTAATTATCTATCTTTTCTCTGGGAGCAGTTGTTCCCAGTTGGTGCAGGGTGTGCCTATGCTTTCAATGGTTGTTAGGTTTGTAGGGGTCATTTTTATTTATTTATTTATTTTGGTGGGGAAGCAGGGAAAGGTAGCTGTCTGGTCTCTGGGACTCCGATGGCTAACTCTTCAGTGGGTAATGGCTCAGTTTCTGGTCTTTATTGCAACTGTGTCTCTGCTGCCGCCCGCCTCTGCGCATGCCGCTGCGCCTGCCTGCGTCTGCGACCCACCGCTTAATTATCTATCTTGATGAATCTAAAGTTTTGCATCTAATTTACTTTCTATTACAACTCAGGAAAACTATAATTATAACTATTTACTCTTTTTTGGGGGTGGGGCGGGGGTTTGAGACAGGGTTTCTCTGTGTAGCTTTGCACCTTTCCTGGAACTCACTCCGTAGCCCAGCCTGGCCTCAAACTCACAGAGATCCTCCTGCCTCTGCCTCCCAAGTGCTGGGATTAAAGGCGTGCGCCACCATTGCCCGGCCTCTGTTACTCTTAAACTCCATCAAAGACCCTAGAAGGGTGAAATGTTACCTAATGACAGGGACATCACAGTCACCCAAAGTTCCTCTGTAACGTTAGGGCATCCATCTTTGGCCTATAGACCTATCATGTCTGACAGACTTTCCTGTAAAGCAGGGGATTTTGAAGGACTGTCCTACCTTGTCTTGACAAAGTTTGGCAGTCACCTTTCTTGTGTCTTGCTAATCCAGTTTGGACAGTAACTGTTAGCAATTGAAGCAAAGGTAATTTCTTTGCCCACACGGGTAGCTTTTGCCATAAAGGAAACAAACTCCATACAGAGTTTCTTCAATGCCCATGATCTTTTTTGGAGTATATTGGTGATGCCAGGAGCAGACATGCCTCACTGTCATGAAAAGTCTGTTATTAAAACATTTTAAGTACCATATTCTTTAGGTGTTTGAAGATTACCTATCTATCTGAAATATATCTTTGTATACCTCGAAATTCTAACTAACATGACTATAAGTTTGACTATTACAGATGAATAAATTTTTTTGTTTACTTTTTTTCGAGACAGAGTTTCTCTGTGTGGCTTTGGAGCCTGTCCTGGAACTTGCTCTGTAGACCAGACTGGCCTAGAACTCACAGAGATCTGCCTGCCTCTGCCTTCACAGTGCTGGGATTAAAGGCATGTGCCACCACCGCCTGGCCTTATTAATCTGTATTTTCAATTATATATACATTTTAAATGAGCTGTAAAAACACAATACCTTAAACAAGAGTAGAAGTATACATACATTATAACAAAATTAACTTTAAATTTGTATCAGTCAACTAAAATCCATACCAATGTAAAATATTATGATAGTCCCCATCCTTAATATGGGAAAGATTTTTAATATTACTTAACTCTCTCCTTGAGGACTTTCTAGGTGTCTTACCAAACCTGATCACCTCTAAGTTTGTCTGCAGCTGACATGATTTCTCTGTCCATGTGGTCATGCCATGCATTGGAGTAGCAAATGTCGTTTTTTAACAAAATCTCAGTCATTTAATTTTTCCAATAAAGACTCAGGAGCCAGATGCTAGAGTGAAAGCCTGCTAGCTCAGAGAGGCAGAGAAAGGACCCAGCTGACCTTCCTCCTCCATGGTCATCCCAGAAAAGACCTTCCTTCTACACCTTGTCAAAATACCTCCAACTGCATGTCCTTCCCTTCTACGTCCTGGGTGTCTCTCTTCTTCCGGATGCCCTCTTACTCTCTCTATTTTTTTAATTCTATATTTGCTTCCTGTCAACTATCTTGTTTACAATATTCAAGCAGAAAACTCTTGGATAAAAGGTGTGTGCTAGGGCTGAGCCACACCACAACTAGAATTAGATTTTTCCAGTAAATAATGCAATTTTGGGTTCACAGTGTGATCAAATAATCTGCAACAGTTTTCTTCTGGTTTGAGTTTTTGTTTTGTTCTTTTAGACAGGTTTTCTCTACGTAACCCTGGTTGTCCTAGAACTTGCTCTGTAGAGCAGACTGACATGAAGCCATATAGATTCTCCTGCCTTTGCCTCCAGAGTGCTGAGATTAAAGGATTGTTAACACCACTGCCTGGCTATGTTATATACTTTTATCTTGTTTGTTTAATTGACTTCCTTTTTCCTGTACTGGAGAACAAACCCAGGGTTTTATGCACTTTAAGGAAGTCACACTGAGCCACATCCCCAGCTCTGTGATGTGAGTGTGTATGTGTGTGTGTGTGTGTGTGTGTGTGTGTGTGTGTGTGTGTGTGTGTGTGTGTCTGCATGTGTGTTGTGGATTCAGGTTACTGGGGATTGAACCTAGCGCCTTGAGCACACCAACTAAGCATCTTACCACCAAACGATAGCCCCATCCCTTCTTGTAATATTTTTAATTTAAATTTTTATTCTATATGTACCAGTGTTTTGCCAGCATGCATATATGCATGTGGTGCTAACAGAGGCCAGAAGAGTGTGCCGCATCCCCCAGAACTGGAGTTATGGGTGGCTGTAAGCCTCCCTGTGGGTCCTCTCTAAGAGCAGCAAGTGCTCTTAACTCTGGAGATATCTCTCTAGCCTACTTTTTTCTAATTTTTGCTTTGAGATGAGGTCTCATTGAATATCACAGACTGGCCTTGGATTCACTTGCCATCCTCCTGCCTCAGTCTCTCCAGTTGAATAGAAAGCATTACAGCAGACATTTCCAGGCCACGGGAGCTGGAGGCTAGTACTGTACACTTCCTGGAGAGGTGGGGCCACCCTCACAGGGCCTTGGAGACCAGGTTAAGGACATGGGACCCAAACTCAAGTTAGTGGAACACCATTGAATAGGTTTAGGTGGAGACTGATACAATCGGATGTCATTTTAAAGTTCTCTAGGGTGGCAGGTGCAGGGGTGGGCAGTGGAGTGACAGACAGGTGGGGGATGGGCACTGGCCCATAATCCCAGAGGTGGAGGCAGAAGGATCTTAAGTTCTATGCTAGCCTTGTCTACAAACCAACACCCGATTCAAACCCAAATCCACAATATAGAACAGGCTGGACTCAACTCACAAATATCTTTCTACCTCTGTCTCCAGAGTGCTGGGATTAAAGTGTGCATCACCACCTCTGGCAGTAACTGTTTCTCAGCATCAGATAAGGTAGAACTGGAGAAAAAGTGGGCAAGCCCCACCCCACCCTGTGTCCTCTGTGGGGCGTTTACCCAACCACCCCCACAGTTCCCCAGAGTTTTCTTGAGTGCGAGCAGCAGGAAATATTAGATAGAAGGATTTATTGTGGAGAATCTTGTGGAGATAAACAGATAGAAAATAAAGGATAGCCTCGAGAGGGCCTGGAACCTATTCCAACGGGCCCCGACTGTCTCTGCCCCAGGGTTTTTATAGAGACGCCAAGGGGTGGAGCAAAAGACCTCCTCCCCCAGCACAGCCAAGTGCAGACCATCCCAGACACCTGCACTTAGGCCCGTGGTCCTAATCATCCTCTATGCGGTCCTGCTGGGTAAAGCCACAAGGAACCCGAGAACGGGCTCCAACAGGTCCCCCTTTCTTAATATATAAAAAAAAACTATTAATGGCTTACAACAATCTCCATAGCTGTTACACCTCCCAATATGGGAGTAGAGGATGATAAAGATGGCATTTCTC